TTATATATACATGTACATATATTTATAACTATAAATGTGAATTCAACGACACACACATTGATAGTGGCATCGATCGGTAGGTAGTGATGCCGACAGGCAGCGAGACCGATGTGGGTTGTGTGATGGGTGGTCGGCGTGGGTCTCCCCGATGCAGACGCTGCAATGCTCGTAACGACGGGCGAACGTTTCCCTGCGGCGACGGCGACGAGCCCGGCGGGCGGCCAGCGGGCGGCCAGCGGGCGGGGCTGGTGGGCGTGCGGTCCTCCGGTCCGGGCGTGGCACTTTCGGCACAGCGGGCAGTGCTCTGCTTCGGGCCCCTGGACCCGCGCGGTCCTGCTCTCGTGGTAGCACTCACAGGTGGGGCTGGGGCCGAACGTGGTTCCCGCGCGCAGAGCTAACAACGGTAAAGCAGCGCTCTGACACCAGTCTGCCTCCGACGATGGAGACCGACAGATTTTTGAGCACGCAAGCGAAGCTCACAGTTTCTGCTCGCTCTTAGATTGTTGTTGCTGGGACCTGGAAGCACTAAACAGATTCTTTGCACGACGCCGAGCTGCAAACGGTAAACAAAACGCACAGGGCATACTTCAGATGAACGAAGTCCTCCTGGGACCAATGCTCTGGCCGCGCTATTTCTACGATTTTCGATCGTTTCGTGACGTTGGATCTCAGGGGTGGTTGGTGTGGATACCTGCCCGCCGTAGCGAGCGAAAGGCCATGCACCACATGGGGCGTTCCAGAGAGGGCCTTGCCTTCGAGGGTTGACGAAGTTGGCATCTCTTCCCCGGCGGAAGGCTGCGGAAGGCCCGCGGGAGCCGGAGGAAGTACAACGAGGGCTGCTCCGCCGGCGGAAAGCAGCGGAAACGGGCATCGCCCCCCAAGAGACTACACTGTAAGGGGTCCAGGGTTTCCGGGACGGCGGGTTCGTGTTGCGCCGACGCGACAGCGAGCCCAGCGCGGGCGTTCAAGGTTGAACGCCGCCAGAGGCTTAGAATTGGGGGACATCGAGCGATCTGCGCTACCGGGGAGCTGCAATCGCTCAAGGTTGTCACAAACCATCGCCGACGTCGTCCCCCAGGGGCCCCCGGGGCAGCACCCCAGAGGTGAGTGGGCGGACGCGGACCCAGACATCCGACGATCTGATTTCTTGAATGCGCGGCCCCCTGGAGGTCCCGACCCCTTCCCTGAGAGCAACTTCCCCTTCCAGGTCCGTTCTTTGATGGCCCCGGGGACCTACAGCGGCCCCCCCGAGGAAGAACCAACGCCAGGGCTGAAACGATCACATCGTCAGAGGTCTGGGCTTTCAGGCCACAGCTCGAGCATCCAGCGGCCGTTCGCAACGATTCTGGCGCCCCTCGGAGTGCCCTTGGCAAGGTGCAGATGCTGGAGAGAGTCCCGAGGCAAGAACACCCTACGACAGAATATGACAGCCAATGGGGAGCGGATGTCCGAAGAGGTAGGGAGGGGAGGAGGAGGAGGAGGAGGCAGAGGAGGAGGAGGAGGAGGAGGAGGAGGAGGAGGAGGAGGAGAGGAGGCAGAGGAGGAGGAGGGAGGAGGAGAGGAGGAGGAGGAGGAGGAGGAGAGGAGGGAGGAAGGAGGAGGAGGAGAAGGAGGAGGAGGAGGAGGAGGGGGAGGAGGAGGAGGAGGGGGAGGAGGGAGGGGAGGAGGAGGAGGACGAGGAGAAGGAGGAGGCGGAGGAGGAGGAGGAGGAGGAGGAGGAGGAGGAGGAGAAGGAGATCTGGGGATGCCTCCCTGCGGTGCGCAGGAGGCCTTCTCCCCCGCCTCCGAGCCGGAGGAGGCGCCGCGGAAGGCGCCGAGGACGGCGACGATAACGACGACGAGGACGACGACGAGGACGAGGGCGAGGACGACGACGACGACAACGACGACGACGACGGCGGCGGCGATAACGACGACGACGACGGCGACGATGACGGCGACGAGGACGACGACGACGACGACGACGGCGGCGACGACGACGGCGACGATGACGGCGACGAGGACGAGGACGATGACGGGGACGACGGGGACGACGACGAGGACGACGCTGACGACGAGGACGAGGACGACGACGACGACGTCGACGACGAGGACGACGGCGACGGCGCCGCGGAAGGTGCCGAGGACCTGCGCGCCGTCGACGGAGCCACCGCTCGGCGCCTTCGGCGTGGTACCGCTGGCGGCGCTGCGGGCCGCGGGCGGGCGCGGCGGCGCTCGGCGTCGTCGAAGCGACCCCCGACCCTCGGGGCGCAGCTCTGCTCCTCCTCCTCTTCCTCCTCCTCCTCCTCCTCCTCGTCCTCCTCCTCCTCGTCCTCCTCTTCCTCCTCCCCCTCCTCTTCCTCCTCCTCCTCCTCCTCCTTCTCCTCCTCCTCCTCCTCCCTCTCCTCCTCCTCCTCCTCCTCCTCCTCCTCCTCCTTCTCCTCGTCCTCCTCCTTCCTCCTCGCCCTTCTCCCGAGAAGCTCAAAGGACAAAGCAAGTGGCATATGTTTTGGGCGCCGCGGCCACGCGCGCAGCGGCGCGGCGGCGCAGAGGTCGGGCGGAGATTGAGTGCGCGCGGGGTGGCCCCGATCACGCGACGTGGAGGTGCTGGGTCCACCCACAGGGGGGGGGGAGGAGGAGGAGGAGGAGGAGGAGGAGGAGGAGGAGGAGGAGGAGGAGGAGGAGGAGGAGGAGGAGGAGGAGGAGGAGGCGGAGGCGAGGCGGAGGCGGAGGCGGAGGCGGGGGGGGGGGCGCGGCGCCGCTCGGCATTGTCTAACCGATCGAACCAGGCTTCGGATCCGCCGTGCCTGTGCTGATCTCCTGGCTCCCGATGTGCTTATCGAGGATGCACCCCGAAAGGTGCGAAAACGCACGGCGGACAACAATCCCGCCTCGGAAGAGTGAGGCGGGTATTTCCGCAAACCTATGGCGGAATCGGCGACGGCAAAGTAGGGCGGACACGTAATCAAGGAGCTTGAACAAGCAGAGCGGAAATTATTCGCGCTTCGCGTATTCCCACCAGCAAGGCCTGTCTCGCGTTTGACTCTTGACGCCGCGCGGCTGCCCGCTTGCGGTTGCGAACAAAAAGTATCCCCACCAGCCAATTCAGAAACGTTGCCCATGAGGGGTGACTGGGAAACGGACGAAGCGTGCAACCAGGATGGACAGAGAGATCTTTGGGAGCACGGGGGTTGGCCTTGGAAGGCCTCTTCAGGCCGTCCCTGAGGGGAGGAGGAGGGGGAAGAGGAGGAGGAGGAGGATGTAAAGGATGTAAAGGATGTAAAGGATGATGATGATGATGATGATGATGATGATGATGATGATGATGATGATGATGATGATGATGATGATGATGATGATGATGATGATGATGATGATGATGATGATGATGATGATGATGATGATGATGATGATGATGATGATGATGATGATGATGATGATGATGATGATGATGATGATGATGATGATGATGATGATGATGATGATGATGATGATGATGATGATGATGATGTGATGATGATGATGAGGATGAGGATGATGATGATGATGCTGATGCTGATGCTGATGCTGCTGCTGATGATGATGATGATGATGATGATGATGAGGAGGAGGAGGAGGAGGAGGAGGAGGAGGAGGGAGGAGGAGCAGGACGAGGAAGAGGAGGAAAAGGATGAGGATGCGGATGAGGAGGAAGAAGAGGAGGAGAAGGAGAAGGAGGAGGCGGATGAGGAAGAGGAGGAGGAGGAGGAGGAGGAGGAGGAGGAGGAGGAGCAGCAGGAGGAGGAGGAGGCAAACCGCCTCTTGGGGCCCTCGCGGGACGCTCTCGGGGTGCTCTTGGGCGCTCTTGGGGCCGTCTTGGGGCCCTCTTGGGGCCCTCTTGGGGGTTCCCTCGGAGCCCCAGAGGGCCTCTTTGGGCCATCTTGGAGGCCATCGATCAAAAGGGAGGTCCCCTATCTAGCCCCTCTCCCCCCCAAGAGCCCTCGAAAAAGGCCTCTTGGGGCGCTCTTGGGGCGCTCTTGGGGCGCTCTTGGGCGCTCTTAGGCGCTCTTGGTGTCGTACTGGGCCAGCCTTTGAAGTCCGTCTTGGGACTCCCTTGGGCCATCTGGGGGCCATCTCGAGGCCTCACAAGCGCATCGGAAGCGAACAGGCGAGAAGGCATGATTCATTGATTTTCCATCGGTTTTTGAGCGGGGTGGTCATTGGTGGGCTCTGGGAGCACTCGGAGCCGTCTTGCGGTCCCCTTGGGCATTTTTGGAGGCATGTTGGAAGCTATCTTGAACAATATGCGGCTATCTCAAGCCACCTTGGAAGCCATCTTGGAACATCGGGCGCCCTCTTGGATCCATCTTGGGCCATCTTGGGCGCCCTGACACCATGCGAAATCCCCCCGAGGGGGAGGGTAACTACCCCTCCCCGAAGGGAAAAGTGCTTTGGAAGAGGAAAGAGAGACATCGCTAGACCACCTTAGCCCAAATGGCTGTTGGGATTTCCGCGGCGGCGATCAGCATCGTCGACGGTCAGGAACGTTCGGATAGCGTGTCGCTCCGCAGGGTCTGGCCCACAACGCTCCGGCGCGACACGCTACCCACTTCGCGGTCCCGAGGCGTCCACGTCCCAGGCTTTTCCGAGCCTCCCGCGCCCGCGGAGACATGATCCACTCGCACGGCACAGCGTGTTGCCGGGGGCCGCCGTCGCGACGCGCGATCCAAAAGTTCCCGGCCGTAACCGACCCCTTAGGGTACACCTTATGCGATGCTTAAGAAAACCTAAGTTTTCGGCCAGAGTCTCGATTATTCTTACTGTTTCAATGTAAATCCTAAACTTTGAATAGAAATTTTGTTTTTTATTCAAATCCTGAGACTATGAGTTTCTGAACCCATGATTTCTTAACCATTTCGCAGGGTGTACAACTCTTGGGAGGTTAGCTTCAGAATCTCGAGGAACAAACGACGGCATAAAAGTGCGCTTTCGGAGGTCCGCGCGGATTTCTTGGATCGGCGCTGGGCACCCTCCCTGGCGCGCGCGGAGCCCGCCCAAGGTGGCGCCAGAGGTGCCGCCAAGGGGGCTCCAGCGCCGATCCAAGACATCCGCACGGACCTCAGAGAGTTTATGCTTATGCAGTTTTCTTGTTCCGGCGCTGGCATATCCCTGGTCGAAAATTGGCTTCATCTCTGGCTTCCTCTTGCTTCCTCCATTTTGATCCCGCTTCATCCGATGTAATCCCGCCTGATCGGGCCTAGTCCTGGGCACAGCCTGGCCTAATCTAGCTCAGTGGCCCTAAAATCGGGCTGAATGGTCCCTAATCGTTCTGACGAAGACCTCCTCCTCCTCCTCCTCCTCCTCGTCCTCGTCCTCGTCCTCCTCCTCCTCCTCCTCCTCCCTCCCAGGAGTTGCCTTTCTATGGGCGGCGTGATCGGAACCCTGTCGCCGCCGATTCACGTTTTAGGCAACTCGATGGGCGGCGGGGGTACAGTGAGCGGCGTGAATAAGGAGCACTTACTTTTCAAAAGGGGCTCGGTTGTTCCTTGGGTGCGTTGTTTCTCGTTCCTGATGCGTTATGTATCATGTATCGTTCCTTATGCGTTATTCCCTGGAAAGAAGGTGCTTCGTTCCTTATTTATCGTTTCTTAGGTCAAGCCGATCACTGTAGGGTTCGGAATTCGCCGAAGCGTGGCGAACTCCGAACCCCGCCCCCGCCCCCCGTCGAGTCGGGAGGAGCATCGATGGTTGGCGGGGGCAGGGTTCGGAAGTGGGCCCCTGTCCCGCGCGCCTCCTCATCGTCGCCCTGGGGATGATGGCGGGGGGGATACGGATGAGGGAGAAGGGCGAGGGAGCAGGAGGGGAGAGGAGAGTGGTGCTTGGAGGGGGATTACGACGGGGCGGATCCCCCCCCCCTCTCCGCGGCGCCTCATCGTCGCCCTAGGGATGATGACGTGGGGGATAAGTATGAGGGGGCAGGAGGGGAGAGGAGAGTGGTGCCTGGAGGGGGATGATGACGGGGCGGATCCCCCCCGTCGACGATTGAGGCGGCAGGTCTTTGGGGCGTTCCCCAGGCCTCACCGGGCCTTCCCTGGGCCCACGGTCTGCGAGAAAGCGGCCTGGCATAGAAAGCTGGACGACGACGACGACGACGGCGACGCCGACGGCGGCGACGACGACGACGACGACGACGGCGACGACGACGACGACGACGACGACGACGACGGCGACGACGACGACGACGACGGCGGCGGCGACGACGACGGTGAGGGCGGCGACGACGACGACGACGACGACGACGACGACGACGGCGACGACGACGGCGACGGCGACAACAACGACGACGACGACGGCGACGACGACTACGGCGGTTGCGACGACGACGACGACGACAGCGACGACGGCGACGGCGGCGACGACGACGATGGCGATGACGACGACGACGACGACGACGACGTTGACGACGACGACGACGACGACGACGACGACGACGACGACGGCGGCGACGACGACGACGACGACGGCGACTACGGCGACGACGGCGGCGACGACGACGGCGACGGCGACGACGACGACGATGGTGAGGGCGGCGACGGCGACGGCGGCGACGACGACGACGACCGCGACGACGACGACGACGACGACGACCGCGACGTCCCCGGGGAGGTGGTCCCGGCCTCCGGGGCTTCGCGTCGTGCGGAAACGTCGCGACGCCGGAGTTTGGGCCCATCCCCGCATCGGGCCTCTGCCGAGGTTCACCCCCGAGGCGGGGACGGGCCCGGCGAAGCTCGGAGCGAGCAGCGAGCATCGCATGTCCCCACCCAGGGGTGTACCCTGAGATCAAACGTTCCGAAGGGATGGCGACATCGCGAAGAATCACGACCCGCGCCCTGGACCCAACCTGCCTGCGGCATTTTTCTGGCCGGATCGATACGTGATGGTCCCGGGGCCCGCAACCGGGTGAAAACGCGTGGTGCGAGAAAGAACTGCAACGCCCGGCTGTCGGGGGCGGCCAGTGGGGCCGAGGCCATGCCAGTGGCGACGGGGATCGGCGAAACGATGCCCAGGCGCGCCGGCGCGGGCGGTGGCCAGGAGCGGGAGGCCCAAGACCGAGATGTGCCAGCCGTTCCTGCAGAGGTCGAGGGGGAGAGAAAGCGGCAGGAGCACGAACTCTCGGCGGTCCGCGCACACGTCTTGGGCTGGCGCTGGAAGCCCTCTCCCCGGCGCGCGGCGCGCGCCAGGGGCGGCGCCGGAGGCGCCGCCATGGGGGTCCAGCGCCGACCCGAGAAATCCGTGCGGACCTCCGACCACTCCAAGATTTACTTCTACTGTGTTCAAAGTCGGGCACGTCCCCCTGCAGGAGGAATATTCAACAACAGTGAAAACATCGTCTGGGCACGATGTCTTAGTGTTCTACTATGTTTGAATATTTTGTTTTGAATGTTGTCTTGTGTTTTTATTTGTCGCCCAAAAGCCGCCTGCAGGAGGACATGCCCGACCTAATGCTGCGTGTGTGCGTCGCCCCAGTCGCCCCAACCTCCCCCCCCAGGGAGGACGGAAACTAACGCAACGTTTGCGAATCATAATTTGATCGCCCCCTGGGCGTCCTCTTGATGGCCTCGCTGGGCGTCCTGCGGGCATTCTGAGCCGTCTCGAGGCCATCTGCGCCCCTCTTGGAGCGCTCTTGTCCTGTCTCGCAGGGGGGTAGCAGGGCTTTGCAAGCCCAGCAGGGGGTAATTAGCAGGGCTTCGCACAGCATGGGAGAGCTTGAGATTTTGAGCAACGCGCAGCCGCACGCGCGCCCTCGCTCCTCATCCATGGGGCGACTCGGTCCAATTAGTCCGAAGAGTTTCGGCCTTCTTGTCCAATTCGTCTCAATTCGTAGCACTATGGCCGCGACCTACCTTACACCACAAGTGCGAATCCTCTTCAGAACGTCTGAATCCTCAAACTGTGAATCCTCACCCGAGGCCGTGTGAGGATTGAGGCGGGCTGTACGCACGAACGGATTCATCTAGCCGCTGAGGCTTCCTTGTCATTTATCATTCCCCCGAGGGTTCACTGTCACTTCATCTGGTCGCTGAGGCTTCCTAGCAGGGCTTGGCAGAGCACATCCGAGCGTAGCAGTGCTTAGCAAAGCTTGGCAGGGCTCAGCAGGGATTAGCAGAGCGTTGCGGAGCCTATCAGTGCATAGCAGGGCTGAGCAGGGCTTGGCAGTGGTTCGCAAGGCTAGGCAGAGAATAGCAGGGCAACTCGAGAAGGGAATGCTTTTGTCTCAGAAGCCCTGGGGGGAACGCAGGCGGATCATGGTGCAAGGCCGCGCAACCTCGGCGCGCGCCAGCTCGGCACAGGCTCATATAAGACAAGTAGAGCGCAAGCGGCGGGGTCGTGAGGCAGCCCCCATCATGTGTCCAGCCTGCCGCCATTGACCACGCGCACGAGGTCGTGCATGCGCTGTGGCATCTGCTTGCGCAAGCCGCCGACGTCATGCTGGGCGTTGACCCACGTGGCCGCCGCCTTGAATCGCCTCTCGAAGTCCTCCTCGGTTTCAGACCATGGCTCTTTCGGCAAGGTGAGCTGCAACCTCTCCCTCATCCACGACACAGCAGTCTCGTGTGGCCAAAGGTCCCCAGAGTGCCCTGGCTGGACACTTGCGTCTTCGCCGTGGAAAGCCTTGAGCTTGTGCTCGCGCAAAGCCTGCTTGAACTCATGCGTGATGTTCCCGCCCTGATAGAAGCCACCGCCAAGGTCAGCGAACACTATGCCTGGCTGATCGGCACGGAACCGCGCGTTGATGGACGACCTGAGCTTGCGACCGAAGCCGGACACGCCACTGACATGGTCGCCAGCAAAACCAGGGCCCAACAACTCGAGGTGCAATTTGCCCCGCGCGAGGACAGGCATTCAATGTGCCCGCGTGCGCTCCTTCTCAGCGAGCACCAAGTCTTTCTTGCTGCCGCGCATGTTCACAGACTCGTGCTTCAAGCGTCGCTGGGCATCCAGCCTGCGCCCCCCTTCTGCGCGAGGGCTTGGCCGCTGGCTTTCCGAACAGTGGTGGGCAAAACGTCGTTGCAGATGTCCGCCTGGACAACGTGCCGTCAATGCCAGTTGGGCGCGTGCTTCAGCGACAACATGTGACTGCCAAAGGCCAATTTTAGGCCTAATATGTTTCCCTTGAAACTCGGACGCCGTTCACAATGGAACGGCGCAGCTTCCAGCAGGGCCCCAACGCAGGTCCGATGCGGCTGAGCAACTGGCCCCGACATGACCCGAGGAGGCCTCCGACTGGAGGTTCGTCGCCGTCGCCGCCATCGCCGCCGTCGCCGCGTCTTTGCTCTGCGAAATTTCGCGGAACCTGCCTCGACCCCCTCAATGAGCGCCACATGTCAACCCTAGAACTTTGCGCTGGGTTTCCGTTCTGCCTGATTCAGGGAGGACGGAAACGAACGCAAAGTCTGCGAATCACAATTTTATCGCCCCTGGGCGTCCTCTTGATTCTGAGCCGTCTCGAGGCCATATGCGCCCCTCTTGGAGCGCTCTTGTCCTGTCTCGCAGGGGGGTAGCAGGGCTTTGCAAGCCCAGCAGGGGGTAGCAGGGCTTCGCGCAGCATGGGGGAGCTTGAGAATTTGAGCAACGCGCAGCCGCGCGCGCGCCCTCGCCCCTCATCCACGGGGCGACTCGGCCCAATTAGTCCGAAGACTTTCGGCCCTCTGGTCCAATTAGTCCCAATTAGTAGCACTATGGTCGCGACCTACCTAGCACCGCAATTATGAATCCTCTTCGCAATGTCTGAATCCTCAAACTGTGAATGCGCGCCCGAGGCCGTGTGAGGATTGAGGCGGGCTGTGCGCGCGAACGCATTCATCTGGCCGCTGAGGCTTCGCTGTCACTTATCATTCCCCCGAGTGTCACTGTCGCTTCATCTGGTCGCTGAGGCTTCCTAGCAGGGCTTAGCAGAGCACATCCGAGCGTAGCAGTGCTTAGCACAGCTTGGCAGGGCTCAGCAGAGACTAGCAGAGCGTCGCGGAGCCTATCAGTGCATAGCAGGGCTGAGCAAGGCTTCGCAGTGGCTCGCAAGGCTAGGCAGAGAATAGCAGGGCAACTCGAGAGGGAATGCTTTTGTCTCAGAAAGCCTGGGGGGACGCAAGCGGATCATGGTGCAAGGCCGCGCAACCTCGGCGCGCGCCAGTTCGGCACAGGCTCATATAATACAAATGGAGCGCAAGCGGCGGGGTCGCGAGGCAGCCCCCATCATGTGCCCAGCCTGCCGCCATTGACCACGTGCACGAGGTCGCGCATGCGCTGTGGCATCTGCCTGCACAAGCCGCCGACGTCATGCTGGGCGTTGACCCACGTGGCCGCCGCCTTGAGTCGCCTCTCGAAGTCCTCTTCGGTTTCAGCCCATGGCTCTGTCGGCAAGGTGAGCCGCAACCTCTCCCTCACCCACGACACAGCAGTCTCGTGTGGCCACAGGTCCCCAGAGTGCCCTGGCTGGACGCTTGCGTCGTCGCCGTGGAAGGCCTTGAGCTTGTGCTCGCGCAAAGCCTGCTTGAACTCATGCGTGACGTTCCCGCCCCGATACAAGCCACCGCCAAGATCAACTAACGCGATGCCTGGCTGATCGGCACGGAACCGCGCGTTGATGGACGACCTGAGCTTGCGAACGAAGCCGGGCATGCCACTGACATGGTCGCCAGCAAAATCAGGACCCAACAACTCGAGTTGCAATTTGCCCCGCGCGGGGACAGGCATCCAATATACCCGCGTGCACTCCTTTCCGGCGAGCACCAAGTCCTTCTTGCTGCCGCGCATGTTCACAGACTCGTGCTTCGCGTCGCTGGACATCCATCCTGCGCCCCCCCTTCTGCGCGAGGGCTTGGCCGTTGGCTTTCCGAATAGTGGTGGGCAAAACGTCGTTGCAGGTGTCCGCCCAGACAACGTGCCGTAACTGCCAGTTGGGCGTGTGCTCCAGCGACAACATGTGCTTGCCAAAGGCCACGCGCTTCGGGGCGTCCTACGGCAGCGCGGCCACCTTTGCCAGGCGCTTTTGGGGAGACCACGGCGCGTTAGGATCGAGGTCGTAGCAGCGACTCTCCAGGATGTCGTACACGACTTGCTTGCCGAGTGGGCACCCCGTGACTGGGTTGACAGATGCATTCGGGCACTTGGCGATAGGCTCCACCCCGCGCTCTTTCATGGCCATCGCGCTGGAGGCGATGACCGCCTTGTTCGTCTCACCCAGAGCTGGCGGGCGACCGCCCAGGTCCCCGTGCACTTTGCCTGGGAACCAGTCTCCGTCCTCGTCCATCTTGCCGACCAGCTTGCTGATTGAACTTGCATGTGGGTGGTGGCGCCCAGGGCCCTGCACGTAGACGCGGTCTGCGATCCACTGCATCTCCCCATGCACTCGGTCCCCGTGCAGCTCCTCCCACGCCTCCTTCAGCCCATGAGCTTTGGCCTGCTGCCACGGGGACATGCAGCCATCCTTGCGAGCCCTCTGCCACGACTGGGACAACTTCCGCTGCTCATCGTCGAGGGGCGCGGACGTGTTGGGCCGACGCGGAGCTGCAGCTGGGCGGTGGTGGAAGGCGGCGAAGGCCAGTTTGAAATAAGCTTGAACCGACATGGCCGCAGGCGGTGCATGTCTGGATGTATGTATGTCTGGATGTATGTATGTCTGTGCGCCTGTGGCCCTGTCTGTCGGTCGGTCGGTCTGCCTGCCTCTCTGTCGAGCTGTCGGTCTGCCTGCCTGTCTGCCTGCCCATGCAACTGCGTGTCTGCCTGCTGGCCTGTCGCCCCGTCGGTCTGTCGGTCGGTCGGTCGCCCCGTCTGTCGGTCTGTCGGCCTGTCGGCCTGTCGGTGGCGTGCCCGCCTGTCGGCCTGTCGGCCTGTCGCTCGCACCGAGTCACTCGGACCCCCCCTCGGCTGGCACCCGCCGAGGGCGCGCGACGACCCCCCCCCCCCCCCCCAAAGTACCTTCAACAACTCGGGAGGCCCCACTGGGACACGCCGCCTGTCCTTGCCTCTGAGGCCGTGGCGTCGGTGATCCCGAGTTGCTGAAGGCCCCGGGAGGGGTCTTCGCGTGCTCTCGGCAGATGCCTACTGGAAAGAAGAACGCAACGTTAAACATTCGAACAGGTCAGAAAGCGCGCGGGCGCGCTTTCTTTGGGGCAGCGACGCCAGGAAGAGCGAGGAGGCAAGGATTTCGCGAGTGGGGCGGCAACTCAAATCCTAAGAGGAACCTGGGCCTGTCTGTACTGCCGCCGCCGCCGCCGTTGGCCGTCGTCGACGTCGTCGTCGTTGCCATCACCGACGCCGCCGTCGCCATCGCCGCCGTCGCCGTCCAAGCACGCAAGTCCGCTCGTCCAGCCGCAGGGGTCAAACGTGGCCCTTGTGAGCAGCAGTTTGATAGGTGTAGTAGATGGTTGTCTCGATTTCCCGATGCTGGACCCCGTTGCAACCCTCTGCGGGCTCTCCGCCCCTCGGGCAGTGGCAGGACAATAGGCTTGCGCTGCGTCAGACACACAAGTCGGCCCGCCCAGCCGCAGGGGTCAAACGTGGCTCTTGTGAGCAGCAGTTTGATAGGTGTAGTAGATGTCTCCATTTCCTGATGCTGCCCCTCATCGCAACCCTCCGCGGGCCCTCCGCTCCTCATGCAATGGCAGGGCAATAGGCTTGCGCTACGCCAAGCACACGCGTCGGCTCGTCCAGCCGCAGGGGTCAATCGTGGCTCTTGTGAGCAGCAGTTTGATAAGTGTAGTAGATGTTTGTCTCCATTTCCTGATGCTGCGCTCTCCGCTCCTCAAGCAATGGCAGGACAATAGGCTTGCGCTACGTCAGACACACAAGTCGGCTCGTCCAGCCGCAGGGGTCAAACGTGGCTCTTGTGAGCAGCAGTTTGATCGGTGTAGTAGATTTGTGTCTCGGACGACGGACGACAACGACGACGGACGACGACGACGACGGACTGCGGATCACGGACGACGACGACGACGACGACGACGACGACGACGACGACGGCGGACGACGGACGACGGACGACGGACGACGATGGCGACGACGACCGACGACGACGACGCCCGCGCCCGCAATGATAGCCACGATTGCCGCGTCGGCCGCCTGCTTTTTGTTCCGCTCGGAGCCGACAGGCGCCGCCGCCCCCTGCAACGGTTCACGCGCAGTCCCACAGCCTGCCGCGGCTGTTCTGGGCGTCCAGGAGCTGCTCTCGAACTTGGGTCACGGGCGGGCCTGCCAACTTGTAAACTAGCTCCAGGTTCGCCGAGCTCTTCTCCGTAAAATTGGCGCTACCAGCGTAGACCGTCCGCCTGTTGACGCAGAGAGCTTTCATGCGCAGCCGACCATGCGGCGGGGGCCCGCGACAGAGGTAAACTTCCGCCCCAGCGTCTCTGAGCTCCCGCAACGTCGCCCGTTCTCGGGGGGCATCTCCCTTCTCGAAAGACTCCTTGTCCACCAGGACTGTAGCCGCGAAAAGGGCGCGACCCCGAAGGCGACGCACGAGGACAGATGTCAAGGCCATGTGGTCGTAAGTGAGAGTGGCCAACGCCACCTCGCTGGCCGTGCCCACGTCTTCACGCATCTGTTGCCACCATGCGCCAATGGTCAGAACAACCATGCTCAACGCACTCGGGGCGCCAATCGGCCCAGGCAAAGCCGCCACCTCGCGGCCGCCAGTGTCACTGGGTGGGCGCGCTCGGGGTGGCTCCCGCGCCACAGTCTTCGCCTCCACTGCGCCCCTTGACCGTTTGCGGCCATCGGTGATGGACTCGTCCCTGGCGCATTGGCAGCGCGCCTTGCACCGCCACTTTCCACAGTCGTCGCACGTTTTTGATAATATCACTGGCTGCCCAGGCGGCTTTCGCCGCGGCGCCAGGGTGCAGGCACCGCGCACGGGCTGGCAGTCCCTGCCACTGCTGCGCCCGCCCCTCCTCCCCATGATGGGGCGGAGGCCTAGGGGCTAGGAGGGTGTGCACAAGGCGGTCTTGAACCAAAGCGGCAACGTGCCCTCCATCACCCCCAAGACCGCTGGGCCAATTTTAGGCCTAAGATGTTTCCCTTGAAACTCGAACGCCGTTCACAATGGAACGGCATAGCTTCCAGCATGGCCCCAATGCAGGCCCAAGACGGCTGAGAAACTGGCCCCGACATGACCCAAGGAGGCCCCCGAATGGAGGTTCGTCGCCATCGCCGCCATCGCCGCGTCTTTGCTCTGCGAAATCACGCGGAACCTGCCTCGACCCCCTCAATGAGCGCCACATGTCAACCCTAGAATTTTGCGCTGGGTTTCCGTCCTGCCTGCCGGGGGCGACGCGCGCGCTAGGGCAGCTTACAGTATAGATGCGCGGTGGCGGGCGGTTTCCGGCCATACTGCCTGGGTGACGATGTGCTGCACGTTGCTTATACTGTACTTTCGGTTCGGGCCGTGATGTGCGACACCCCCTCTTGGACGCCCCCCTCTTGGACGCCCCCGAACGAGAAGCATGGGCCCCATGCCAGCGGGTATGGGCCTGGCCTCGCAGAACTGGGCGGGCTCACCGAGGGGCCCTGGTGCCAGATCAGCCGTAGTTTGGACGATTTAGTAGGGCGACGAGATATATCTATCTATCGATATTTCGATCTATCTGACAACCTATATTCCCCAATCAGTGCTTGCACTGAAGGGCTCCTAGTGGAAGTTGAAGGATATGGCGGAAGTTTCCCGCCGATTTTGGTGGCAGGCTGCGTTCCCCGGTTCCCGGTTCTGGGTTCCCGGGGTCCCGGTTATTGGTTCCGGGCCGATTTCGGTGGGTTAACTGGGTTCCCGGGCTCCCGGGTTCCCGGTCGATCTCTCCAGCGAAAACCATCCACTGATTGGGGTTTTTCTCTGGTGTAATACTATAATTTCGGTTCAGGCTTGTGCACCCAAGGGGGGCACACAGTACTCGGTCACCCATCAGAAATGTTAAGAGCAAGACGTCTTTCTCATGGACTGCAGATTTCGCTGTTTTGAAAGTCCAGGGTCTCGACTGGAGCCTGGGCGTTTTCTTGCAGCTAGTTTTGTGTACGTGCAGTTCTCGTAGACCTGGGCCTGGACTCTACTGCTGAGGAAAACGTTAAGGGTGAAGTCCATGTTCTTGCTGAGAGTTTTCTTTTCTTGCTTCGAAGCCGGGGTGTCTTCCATCTTGCGTCCTGTTTGTGCAGCTTCTGCTTTCCTCGAAGAGGGGGCGCTGCGCCTTCGGGGCCTCCTGCGATTTCGCCCACAGCGAGGCGGAGAGGGAGGCCGGCCTGGCGGAGCAGCTCCAGAGCCTGCAGAGGCGCCTGGCTAGCTACAAGACGGTCCTCTGCGAGCGCTTCATGAGGGGCGGCTGCAGAGACGGGGACACAGCCCCACCTCCTCTCGCCGCGGAAGGAAGCTCGACGGGCGGTTGTTGGCAGTGCTCGGCCTCAAGGGGGCCCTCCCCGGGCCCCAGAGGGCCATCGAAAAGCAGCGCGGGATGAAGAGCCGGTCCCGGGGAAGCGGTCCAGGCCTTTGTGGGTGCCCACGTGGGGAGACGAGCCGCAGCGTCGCAGTTTTCTAGGTCGGAGGTGGCGGAGCAGCAGATGTTTGGCCAGCGTGGGCCCCGAGCGCTGGGCACGTGTGCTCTCGAGGTGCGCCCTGTGTGGCGCAATCTGTGGGGTGCAGATGGTGTGGTGCACTATTGTGGTGCAGCCTGTGTGGTGCAACCTGTGCGGTGCAGCCCAGGCCTGTGCGGTGCAAGTCATGTCTGACCACATGGCGTGTGGCCACCTCCACTGTTCCCTGTGAGCCTCGATGCTGGAGCAAGCACCCCCATCCCACCCACACGCAAGCATATTCTGGCGCAGTACTGTGAGGACCCTTCTCATGCTGATCCATGACTCGGGTGGACGAGTGCCTATGATGATAATGATGGTGGCGGCGCTCTCGACGGAGGCGACGACCGTTACGACAACGGTGGCGATGATGATGCTGATGACGACTTTGGGGATGGTGTGACGGTGGCAATAATGACGTCGACGATGACGATGACGATCGTGCTTAGGGTGACGACAGCGACGATGATGACGATGCTGATTATGCTGACGACGGTGGGTATGACGACGACGGGGATGATAATGTTGATGGTCATGACGATGATGATGTTGATTGTGATGCTGATGATGATGATGATGATGATGATGATGATGATGATGATGATGATGATGATGATGATGATGATACTCGTGATGGTGGTGATGATGATGGTGATGATGATGCTGATGCTGCTGCTGCTGCTGATGAAGATGAAGACGGTGGCGATACTTGATCCTGACGTTGATACCGGCGGTGCCGATGAGGACGATGAGGACGCGCGCACGCAGAAGTTTTGGGATGTCTGCCAGATCTTGCTTCCTCGAGCACTCATGAGAAAGACCACCAGGGCTTCGTTCGTTTTGACCACCCCGGTGTGGGACTGCTTCGGGGACCAACGGTTCTGCCCTGCCCGCGACGCGCGCGCCGGCGGAGGCGCGCGCGTGTGGCCGACATGTTAACTGTGCGACGGCGTTGGCGGCGGCGCGATGCTGGGGAAGGTTTTCGGCAGGCGCGCGCCCGTGCTGCCCGCATGGCCTCGCTCGGCAGAGCGGGCCAACGCCCGTGGCCGTTTTTTTGTTTTTTTTTGTTTTGCCAATTAGTGCTTTGCGCGGCCCGCCTAGCTCTTAACCGGCAGAGGCTCGCTCTCGACCCGCAGACCAAAAAGTGGCCTGTGGTTTTCTCATGGCAGTCCTATGCTTTTTCTCACGGGTTCTGCCTCAAGGCACCTGTTATGTTAGATCGACGCGCGTGCCCCGCATTTTTTGTTCGTTGGCAGGGGCGAGGGGGGGAATGCAACACGGCGACGGCTGGCATGATGTGATATTGTTGCAGATTCAACACGAGGCGTGGTGCATGGTTGAGCTTGGGAAGCACCCGTACACGGAGGCGGGCGAGCAAGCGTGGCGTCGGCATTGAGGTAGAAGCTAGTTCTCGCGCGAGGAAGGAGTCAATGTGGTGCAGTCCAGGCGGTGCACGCTATGTGGTGCACTCTGTGTGGTGCTGGTCCAGGCGGTGCACGCTATACGTGGTGCACTCTGCGTGGTGCAATCTATGTGGGGCAGTTGATTTTTACAAATGATTTGACACATCCCACGCTCTTGCAAACATCCCACCCACCCACCCGCAACTTGGTTTGCAAAACCTCTTAAGACCGACTACGACGACACCGACGACAACGACTACGACGACACCGACGACGTCTCCGACGACTTCGACGACGACAACGACGCCGACGCCGACGACGACGAAGACGACGACGACGCCAACGAAGACGACGACGAGGGAGGAGGAAGGACGACGACGGCGACAACGACGACAACGACGACAACGACGAGGGAGGAGGGAGGACGGCGACGACGCGAACGACGAAGAAGGAGGAAGGACGGCGACGCCGACGACGACAACGACGAGGGAGGAGGGAAGACGACGACGACAACGACGACGACGACGACGACGGCGACGAAATAGGAGGGACGACGACGAGATGCCGACGACGGACGACGACCACGGCGACAACGACGACGGAAACGACCACGACGCCAAAGAGGACGACGACGACGAACACGAGGAAAGACAGAGGACGACGTAGGCGACGACGACGACGACGACGCGGGAGAAGGGAGGACGGCGACGACGACGACGCAAGAGCGCGCGCGCACGCTTTTGTTGAAAATCCGTGTTGCGAAACCTTGTGTTTTTGTAGGTTTTTTGGACACACGATTTTGAAATCCTTCCGAAACCGATGGGTTTTGAAGGTTTTCGGCATACGCGCGCGACGACGCGTGCGTCTGCACTTCGTCCCGTTTTTTTGCAGAGGATTCTCACGACGGCACACGCGCAAGGGCGTTCGACAGATTTCGACATGCGCGCGCGCGAAGCCTGTTTAATAGCATTTTGTGAAAATCTTGAAAAACCAATCGTTTTCTTAAGATTTCGCTAGAGCTCGCGCGGAAGCTTTTTCAGCAAATCAGTGTTGCGAAACCCTGTGTTTTTGTATGTTTTTTTGGGAAACTCGATTGCGAAATCCTTCCGGCACAGAAAGTTTTTGAAGGGTTTCGGCATGCGCGCGCGCGCGACGACGCGAGCGTGTGCACTTCGTCCCTTTTTTTGCAAGGGATTCGTGAAAAAGTGTCATGTTATAACAGAAAATGTCACCGCATAGTGTTTTTTACAAGGGACCCTCAGGGGGGGGAACCCGGCCCCCCGGGGATAGCGTAAATTTATATTCAGGATGGACATGTGGTCATAATCATATATGATTTACATACCCGAAAGTAGGACCGTTAAAGCCGGGGGGGGGGTAGAGTCTGTTCTTTTTTTAGAAGGGAGAATCCAGGCGGTGCACGCTATGTGGTGCACTCTGTGTGGTGCTAGTCATGCGTGCATCCTGTAGCGCCAGCCGGCGCACTTGTGCTGCGACGAGGCGGCGACGGGCAACCAGCGGGCGAACGTTAAGAAACGCCGGCCATCGCACAGGGCGGCGACCAGGCGGTGACGGGTGGCCATTGGGCGAACGCCCAGAAGCGCCAGTCAGCTACACTCAGCCCGACAAAGAACCCCATGCCGATGAGGAGGATGAGGATGAGGATGATGATGATGAGGAGGAGGCGGAGGCGGAGGACGAGGAGGAGGTTGAGGCGGAGGAGGAGGAGGAGGAGCAGGAGGAGAAGGAGGAGGGGGAGGAGGAGGAGGAGGAGGAGGCGGCGGAGGAGGAGGAGGAGGAGGAGGCCGAGGATGAGGCGGAGCAGGAGGAGGAGGATGAGGCGGAGCAGGAGGAGAAGGCAGAGGAGCAGGAGGAGGAGGAGGAGGAGGAGGAGGAGGAATAGGAGGGATGAGGAGGAGGAGGAGGAGGAGGAGGAGGAGGAGGAGGAGGAGGAGGAGGAAGAGGAGGAAACAGAGGAGGAGGTGGAGGAGGAGGAGGAGGAGGAGGAGGAGCAGGAGGAGGAGGAGGAGGAGCAGGCCCTCGATCGCCCTCGAGGCCTTCCCCTGGCCTCCTCTTCGCTTGCACGCAAGAGGCACCCAAGGGGCCTTCCCCTGACCTCCTCTTCGCTTGCACGCAAGCCCGGGGTTCCGCCCCAGGCCGCGACCTCCGCTGGGGGGGTCGCGCCCTGCGCTGGGCCGCGCCCTGCGCGAGGCGCATGTGGACTCCTTCTGGCCGCCACGAAGAAAAGGCCGCGGCCATACGCAAAGGATTCCCTGGGCCGCCGCCCTGAGGCCCCGACCCCTACAGCATCGAAAGATTCAATGCGGAGTCGTGTCGTCGTGTTCGGCCCCTGGGGGCCTCCGCTGGGCCCTGGCACGGTTCAGAAAGGACTCGGACCTCGGGTGGGGGTCGGGGCCTCCAGGGCTCCCTCGTTCGAAAAGGTTTCGCCCGGCGGAGGACCCAACCGCATGCAGCTGCGAGTGCCGTCGTTATGAGTATCGCCTCCGGTGGAGCCCCCCTACGGGGCCACGCAGCGCGTAAGTGGTGGGACCGCGTGCCATCCCAGGACAACCCGCTTGCCAAGGCTTCCAGAGAGGTGGTCTCAGCGACCGCTGCGGCCAGAACCGGGAGATTGTCGAGCCTGCCCTGCCCGCGATGTGGTGCAGGGGGCGGGCTCGGGCAGCGCCGCGGGGGTGAGGCCTGGACGCGGCCGCGTGAGGAGGAGGAGGAGGAGGAGGAGGAGGAGGTGGAGGAGGAGGAGGAGATGAAGGAGGAGGAGGAGGAGAGGAGGAGGAGGGAGGAGGAGGAGGAGGAGGAGGAGGAAGAGGGAGGAGGAGGAGGAGGAGGAGGCCACGAACGCAAGCAGCAGAGCGTGAGGTGTGTGCCTGAATGGGCGGCGCGGGCGCACGCGGCCTCGGACGTCCGCGCGGCGGCTCCCCCGCGGCGCGCCGGCCCCCCACGCCCGTCGTCGGTGCACGAGGCTCGTGCCCGGGTGCCCCTCCTCGAGGGAAGGAGATCGGCGGCGAGCCCAGGGGGGAAGTTCGGGGGCTTCGTGCTCGAGGTTTGAGGTTTTTTCGGGCCTCGTCGTGGGTTCTCGGCGGGTTTTGCGCCGGGGTGCGTGCCAGCGGCTGCGCCTCGCCGAGGGCTTTCCGGGGGTGCCGGGATCGTCCCGAACGGCCGCCGGAGAGCCGAGTTGTGACCGAAAAACCACCAGGTGTCCGAGAAGGGGTGGGCCTTCCCAGAAGGTTCGGAAGTTCTTAGGCCTTCTGAGAGGTTTTCCAAGCCGTCACCGAAGACATCGAAAACTTCCCAGAAGGACGGAGGGCTTCTGAAAAACCCTGCCGCCGTCTGGGAAGGCCTTCTCCTTCTCATTTCCCCCCTCGCTTGCCGCCGAGAAGCACGGGGATTATGACCAATATGACGCGGGATCTTGTCGGTGCTGATCTTGGTCATGGTCCATGGCGGCCGTCGCCGACTCGCGAGGGTGATGCACGAATTGACGCTGACCATAATCGGCACAGCGTTTCCGCGTTTAGTTTTGGTCATGGTCTCCGCTCTCTTCCCCTCCATCTTTGGACCCTCTTAGGATCAGAAGCAACGTGGGGGGGGGGTGGTGGACCATCGATCCCCAGTCGCCCCCATTGATCGCCCGCAGGGGCCCGACGACCCAGCCCACCCTGGAGAGGCCTCGCTCTCGAGGACCCGTCGCCGATCTATCGGCGATGTATCATCGATTGCGTGTCGATCTCTCCCCCCCTTCTCGGACCGGTGCCCCCCTGCCTTTCCCCCTCTCGTCACCGCGGCGGCAGGGGCGACGCCCAGCGCTCGAAATTCTGTGACGGCACCGGAGCCGACGCTTTTCTGCCGGTGCTGACGCCAGCACGGGCCTGCTGCATCCCCCGCGGCCTCGCCTCCCAGACCCCCCCCTCGAGTCATGAACAGCTCACGCCGGGAGGTCCGTCGCTCGCTTCGGAATCTCGAGGGCCTTTTCTATATCGGGCCTCGGGGCCGCCAGGAAAGGACTCGGGAGGACAGGCCGGCCCCCAAAGGAGTGGGGTCGAGACCTCTGGGGGCCGACGTCCTGAGCAAGAGGCTGGGCGTCGGCCCTGGCCTCCTGGGACGGCCGAGGGCAGCGGGGCCGGTGGTCCGAGTGCTGCCTCCCCGCCCAGGGCGCCGCGCTGCCCTCGCCTTTCGGGCCATGGCTCGGCTCTCCAGCGGCCGCTCGGGGCGATCCGGGCACCCCCGGGGCGCTCTCGGCGAGGCGCAGCCGCTGGAAGACAGCCCGATCCGCCGAAAACCAACGAAAACGCCAGACCACATCGAGCCTCGAACCCAACACTTCCCCGCTCCCTCCTTCTCCTCCTCCTCCTCCTCCTCCTCCTCCTCCTCCTCCTCTTCCTCCTCCTCCTCTTCCTTCTGCCGCCTCCTTTTGCCGCCTCCTCTTACTTCTCCTCCTCCTCCTCCTGCTCCTGCTCCTCCTCCTCCTCCTCCTCCTCCTCCTCCTCCTCCTCCTCCTCCTCCTCCTCCTTCGCCTCCTCCTCTTCTTCCTCCTCCCCCTTTCCGCAGGCATTTTGTCGCAAAGGCTTATGGGGTTCCGCCGCCGCGCCCCCCCCCCTCTGGGCCTCCCCAGGCGCGCGCGCACGCGCGCGAAATCGCGGCCGACACGCGCATGCATGGGCTGTCCCCTGGAGGCCTTTGGCGTCGTGGGTTTCATTAGCGCCAGCAGCGTCACCTCAGTCGCGGTGCTGTGGCTGAACCAGGATTTGGGCACAGTTTCGTGAGAAGCATCGACTGGGGCGCGTGAGGCAAGGGACCGCGCGGTGTCCCCGTCGTGAGCAGTCTCGTGGGCAAGATCGCGCTGAACGTGCTTCTGTTCTCTCAGTGGGCGCTGCCGCACTCGTGCATTGCCTGGAGCGAGACCAAGAACAGGTTCGTCTTGTCCGTCGGCAACGCGTACCGTTCCCTGTGCGTGTTCGTCCTTGGCGGAGTTCGGATCATATGGTTATGATGTGTTGGCAGCCTTTTCTCACAGAGTGACCGCCGATCTATGGTTTCAGCCTGTACCAGGTGCTTTCCAGCATCGTGACGATCTGCGGTCTTGTGCACCTTGCGTTCATGGGATGCTCGCAAGACTCTTTAGCCGAACATGCAGGTCTGTACATGGCATGCGGCTGCGATCGCAGCGGTGCTGAGGCCATTGCGCCGCCGGGGATGCCCCACGCCCATGCCACAGAAGAAGGAGGATTTGCTCGGCGGCCCCGTTCTGCACGGCCCGATCGCGCCGCTCACTGACCGCGCGGCCAGCCTGAAGGAGCAGGCGTGCGGTTCCTGAGCCGCTCGGCGCCAGACGCGCACAGGAGGCGCCTACGGGCTGCGCCCAGCATCGCTGGGGCAACATCCGCGCCTGTGGGGGGTGCACGGAGGACAGAGAAAGACGACGCCATGATTCGGTTTAGAGGTGCAGGTGCGGGACGCGTTCTCTGCGCTGGTCGGCCCCGCCGGCTCCCCATGTCCCGCTCTCTTGCCCCTCCCCTTCTCCCTGTTAGTGTTGCCCGCAAGGCGAAAACACATGAGCTCGGTGACTCTCGTATGACTTGCGAGCGGCAGCGCCAGCGGCAACAAATGAGCTCGGTGCCTCTCGCATTGTTTGTTCTACTGCGAGTTGTCCTCGGTGCGCTGTTCTGTCCCGTCGCTTGTTGCGGAGCGCAGCCGCTGTGCCGATCGGGCGTTCGCCCGTGTCGTTGAATGACGATTCGAACGGCTTCGAACCAAAGCTTCACCTCGCGTGCTGAATGACGTGGTTTGCTTGGTCGAGAAAGTTTCTCTCGCGAGCGTGACGCACCGTACTTTCACATGAATTGTGGAATTGCGCTCAGGAGGACCGTTTCACGCCGTGTCGTGGCGCGGTCCGCTCTTTCTCTTCCCTCCAAAATTGTGCTGGAAAAAATCCCCCTCCTCCCCCTCAGGCCTCCTCCCCCTCCTCCCCCTCCTCCCCCTCCTTCTTCTCCTGCTCTCCCTCCTCCTCCTCCTCCTCCTCCTCCTCCTCCTCCTCCTCTTCCTCCTCCTCCTCCTCCTCCTGTCGCCGCCCCCCCGCCCAGGACACCTGCACCTTCGCCCACGGGGAGGAGGAGCTGCAGGGCTTCTGCGGCGTCTCCGCCCCGCAGACGCCGCCGCTGGGCGCCGACGCGGGCGCCCTCGCGCCCGCGACGCCGCCGCTGGCGGCGCCGCCCGCCACGCCGCCGCTGTGCGGCGCGGGCGAGATGGCACCCGCTACGCCTCCGCTGGGCGGCGCGGCCGCAATGGTCACGGGAGGGAAATCCTCCGGAGCTCAGTGCCCTGTCGGAGCCTTGGGATGTCTTGAGCGATCTCGGGGCCCAGACGTCGGGCGTATCGAAAAAATCGAGACAGAGGTTTTCATAGTTTTTGGCCTCTCGGGGCCCTCGCCGGCCCTCGGGACCGTCAAAAAACGACTCGGGATGAAAAACCGGTCCCAGGGAAGTGGTCGGGAGGTCGGGGGCCCGCGTCTCGAAAAAAGTCGAGACGTCGGATGTCTGGGGGGCCATCTTGAGCTCTCCGGTGCCCTCTTGGAGCCACCGGGGGCCAGAACGGACCCTCCGACACCTCACCGGGGGGCAGGGGGTCCAGACTTACGGGGGGGGGGAGGCGGGAGGGGGAGGGGGATCCTCCCCGCCCCGAAGGGGAAGATAGGGGCACTCGTCAGCCTGTGGACCATTTCGCCAGGGTCGCGGTACGATTGCCTCAGGCGAGGCACCTTTCTTGCTTGACGGCCGCCCCAGGATTCCCCAGGGGCGTGGCCGTAGGACCAGGAGAGCTCGAGGGTATCGACAAAGCCACGGCAGCGACAACATCCGACAGGGATAACTCGGAAATCTCTGAGATTTGGGCGACGCCCTCTGTCCGCAACGGGCGTCGTCGCCCAGCCTCGGGGCTCGAGACCATCCCAGACCGCTCCGGCTCGAGTAGCGCCGCAGCAGGACGGGGTCAAGGGCTCCAGTCGTGCTTGGTCGCGATGCTGCAATCCTTGCGCAGTGTCGGATCTGAGGGACGGCGCCAACACCGCTGCCCCTCTTTCGTCGCCACGGCCAGATCCGCCTCGGAGTGGTCGGAACGCACCCCGGGAGAGTCTCCGTGGCCACGGCCGGATTCGCCTCCAAGTCTTGGTCAGACGCACCCGGGGAGAGTCCTCGTCGCAACGGCCGGACGGGTTCGCCTCGAGGTCCCAGTCAGAGCGCACCCCGGGAGAGGTCTGGGGAGCGGCGGCATCGGTTCCTTCCCTGAAGGCCGATCTTGCGAAAAAGTTGCAGCATCGCGAGAAATCGCGGCTGGAGCCCTACCCCGTCCGTCTGCGGCGTTGTTCGAGCGGGATCGGGTGCCCTGGGCCCGGAACTGGGCGAAACCGGACGGCGCAAAGAATGCAACGCCCGTTTCCCGGTTAACTATCGGAAGGGAAAAAACACACAGACACAAGTATTCGTCGATCCCCCAGAAGAAATATGGGAAAATATGGGAAGTGGGGCGGAAGACACAAACGCAGAAAATACGGGAACATATGGGGGATCCTGTTATCTGTGTCTACTTATTTGTGTGTGTGTGTGTGTCCCAGGACCCCTTCAAGTTAATTTCGATGCGTGGACCCCTGGAGGTCTGGACAACTTCCCTATAGGGCCAGTTGCTCAACCCGAGCAATCGTCTTACGGTCCCGAGGCCCGCTACGGGCCCCCAGAGGCCGAAGTAAGCCGCAGACCATCCGCTCCAAATTTTTCCGAAGCCTCGGATGTGTGGGAGGGTTTCTGTCCCCCCAGATGGCGCCAGCCACGCCGCCGTGCCCCGGGGCGCTGGCGGCGGCTCCGCAGACGCCGCCGCTGGGGGCGTGAAGGACGGGGGTGCGCGGGCACCCCGCGGTGCCACCAGCGTCGGGCTCGCGGCGCGCGGGGGGGGGCGCGCGTCGGGATGCGGCGCGGCTTCCCCCTCCAGACGCCTCCCGACGTGGCGCGGCGTCGTCCCTCTCCTGACGCCTCCTCCTCCTCCTCCTCCTCCTCCTCCTCCTCCTCCTCCTCCTCCTCCTCCCTCTCCTCCTCCTCCTCCTCCTCCTCTTCGTCCTCCTCCTCCTCCTCCTCCTCCTCCTCCTCCTCCTCCTCCTCCCTCCTCCTCCTCCTCCTCCTCCTCCTCCTCCTCCCCCTCTCCTCCTCCTCCTCCTCCTCCTCCTCCCTCCTCCACCTCCTCCTCCTCCTCCTCCTCCTCCTCCTCCTCCTCCGTCCTCCTCCTCCTCCTCCTCCTCCTCCTCCGCCCCCTTGCTATGGAAGAGGTTCGCAAAGGTCGCCGCCAGAAGCCTCAGCGCTGAGCCCACAGGATCCGCCCAAGGCTCGTCCAAGGTCCCCGCAGGGGCAGTTCCAAAGCAATATTCACGCCCTCGGCGATGGCGGTAGTCTCGGATATCCGCCCGCCTGCCTCCTCGACCTTCTCCTTCGCTCCTGCCCATCTGGGTGCCCTCCGCCCTCTCGACCTCGCCGACGCCCCACTGCACGTTCGTCTTTTCCTCATCCCCACTGCACGTTCGTCTCCTCCTCCTCCTCCTCCTCCTCCTCCTCCTCCTCCTCCTCCTCCTCCTCCTCCTCCTCCTCCTCCTCTTCCTCTTCCTCCTCTTCTCCTCCTCTTTCCTATTCCTCCGTCTCCTTCGCCACCTCCTCCTTCCCCTCATTCATCCTCCTCCTCCGCCGCCTCCTCCTCCTCCTCCTCCTTCTCCTTCTCCCCACCCATCTCCTCCTCCATCTCTCATCCTCCTCCTCCTCCTCCTCGCCCCCTCCTCCTTCCGCCTCATTCTTCCCCTTCTCGCCTCCTCCTCCGCCTCCTCCTCCTACTCCTCCTATTCCTCATCCTCCGTTTCCTCCTTCGCCTCCTCGTTCCTCATCCTTCTTCCTCCTCCTCCTCCGCCTCCTCCTTCTCCTCCTCCTCCGCCGCCTCCTTTTCCGCATCCTCCTCTGCCTCCTTCTCCTCCTCCTCCTTCTCCTCCTTCTCCTCCTCCGCCTCTTCCTCCGCCTCCTCTTCTTCCTCCTCCCTCGCCTCCTCCTTGTCCTCCTCCTCCCTCCTCCGCCTCCTCTCGTCGCGGACGCCCCAGTGCCCGTTTGTTTCCGCTTCTCCCGTCGTCGTCCCGTCGGTGGCCACCTGCCTCGAATTGCCGCCGCTCGAGGTCGAGCGAAGGCAATTCGGGGCTCCCTCCACCGGAGGGGTAAGGGGGGGGGCGTTTATCATTTTGATTTGCGTGCGTGCACTGCAGGTCGTACATGGCGTTGCGGTTCGATGTGTGTAGGTGTCGAGTGTTATTTCGACCCGTGCGTGGCCCGACGCAGTCCTTGTCTTGCCTTGCCCTCTCTACTCCTTGCTCCTCCTCCTCCTCCTTCTGCTCCTCCTCCTCCTCCTCGTCGTCGTCGTCCTCCTCCTCCTCCGCCGCCTCCTCCTCCTCCTCCTCCTCCTCCTCCTCCTCCTCCTCTCCTCCTCCTCCTCCTCCTCCTCCTCCTCGCGGTCCTGCGCCGCCTCCAGCCCTGCCCACTACTTCCTCTCCGCGATCGCCAAGGAGGCGCCGTCCGCCTCGCGGCCTGCCTCCCTCTCTCCTCCCCCCTCCCTCCCCCCTCCTCCCCCCTCCTCCCCCCCCCTCCTCCCGCCTCCCCCTCCCTCCCCCCTCCCCCCTCCTCCCCCTCCCTCCCTCCCCCTCCCCCCCCTCCTCCTCCTCCCCACCCCCCCCCTCGCGTGTCGTGCGAGGTGGAGGCCGCCGCCCCACCGCCATCGGCTCCTCCACCTCCCTCCCCTCCCCTCCTCTCCGAGGAGCAGCTCGCCAGGATCGCGGCCAATAGGGCTATTGCGAGAGAGCGTCGGTTGCAACTTCTTGCCCCATGGAGAGGTAGAACTGAGTTCAGGTGTTGTGTTTTAGCTGTCGAGGTGGCCTGAGCACAGCTGTAACGCTTAAGCCAACGTGCACCACCACCTCCTCCCTCCCCCGTCGTCGCGGTCACATACCACGCGGCGGGAGCTTTCTTGGGGGCCGCTCTTGGCCTCCGGGGGCCCTCGCCGTGCCACGGGGGCGTCGAGAACGGCTCGGGAGGAGAAGCCGGTCCCCGGGAGGAGGTCCCGTCCGCTCTGGGGAAGGGGTTCCCGGCTGCTTCCGGCTTCGGGGAGGCCCTCGCCAGGCCCCGGGGGCGCCGCGCAACGATCATCGGGACGGGGAGGGCCGGTCCCGGGGGAGGGGTCCAGGCCGCCAGGGGGGGTCCACGCTGCAAGTCAAAGCGCGGTGTCGGAGTTCTGGGCAGAGCGGGTCGCGGAGGAGGAGGGGGACCGGCATGAAGGGAGCGGGTCTTGAAGGCATGGGCGCGCTGGGAGTTTTACGACGTTTACCGCACCCTGGGGCCCTCCACGGGGCTGGGAAGGACAAGAAACAGCCGAGGAGAAAAAGCCAGTCCTGGGGAGCGCCCAAGGGTCTGGGACCCGTTGCTCGGCGAGCCAGCCCTCCACGGCGAGTCATGGAGGAGGAAGAGGAGGAGGAGGAGGAGGAGGAGGAGGAGGAGGAGGAGGAGGAGGAGATAAGGAGGAGGAGATCAGGAGGAGGAGGAGGAGGATGAGGAGGAGGAGGAGGAGGAGATAAGGAGGAGAGGAGGAGGAGGAGGAGGAGGAGGAGGAGGAGGAGGAGATAAGGAGGGAGGAGGAGGAGATCAGGAGGAGGAGGAGGAGGAGGTGAACAATAATAAGAAGGTGGAGGAGGACGAGGAGTCCCGAGGAGGACGAGGACGACGCGAAGGAGGAGGAGGAGGAGGAGGAGGAGGAGGAAGAGAAGGAGAATGAGGAGAAGGACCAGTGTAGGCCAGTGTAAACCCAAGGCGCACCAACAATATATCAATGAACCCTCCCTCCAAGTTCCCCCTTCGCAGGTCTATACAATATAATCTGTTTCCAGTACGGGAAGTGCCCCATTTGAAGACAGTCGTCTCACACTACTCAATCGTGCCAAAACGCGTTTCTTGGGACATCAACGCCTCAATCTAACATGACTGCTGCGTCACAATCCTAAAACCATGCCGGAACACCCTTTCTGGGACTTCAACATCGCGACTCAAAGCAACCGTTGCGTCCTGGCAATCTTGAATCGTTCCAGAACGCAGCTCCTGGGACAGAGGCCGCGCGATTTCGTCAGGCAGCTGCGAACGCTTAAACGATGTGCGCCGGGCTACGGCGAGAGCAGCGTTTTTGAACAGAAACCGCACTCCATCCTCCATCGCCGAAGTTGTTGCACCCTTTTGAAGAAAAATGCATGCGGCGCTCAGGCGAGAGCAACAATTTGAAAACTGCCCGTCGCTCATCTTACTTTGTGGCGAACTTTCATGACGACTGTGTGTGGCGCTAAAACGAGAGCCGCATTTTAGAAACGACCCGCCCTCCATCCTTGAAGTTGCTGCGAACTTTTAAGACGAAGGTGCGCGGGGCTCAGGCGAGAGCAACATTTTGGAAAGGGATCGCCGTACATGTTTGAACTTGTGGCAAACTTCCAAGGCCAATGTGCGCGGCGCTGGGGCGAGAACCACATTTCGAAAGCGGCGGCTGTGATTGGCTCGCCGCGCGTTTTCTCCTATCTTGTCTTGTCCACCGCCTTCTCTCCCCCCTCGCTCCTCCTCGCGCCTCCTCCTCCTCCTCCTCCTCCTCCTGCTCCTCCTCCTCCTCCTCCTCCCGTTTTTTGGCCTCGCAGACTCAAATCTGATCTGAAATCTATCCGTCTTGCCTCCCACGCGTTGGGAGCGTGGACTCGGCTTTGCTAGCCCTCAGCTCTGAGGCTTGGCCCAAACAGCCTACGGAAGAACAGCTAATGATACAAAATCTGCCTTATTTCGTATCCTGCCTCTCCGTCCTTACGGAAAGATGATAATTATGATTATCCCGCCTACCATCCCCTACTGCCGCCTAGTGTGGTCTATGTGCGAGCCTCGCCAACAAACTATGCATGTTTGGCAGGCCCCTGTAATTCGTGATACGTACGTCGGGCACGCACCCCATGGCCCTGAGTATCACCGCGCCGTACCCGTCATGCCTGAGGAAATGACCTAGTGTATTTTGCAGGCTTTGCTGAAGCCCGGGGGAATACCGCAACTTCAGCCACAGCGTGCTCGAATTCGATCCCCGAGCGCCCCTGCCCGTGTCTTCGGCGGGGGGGCGGAGGACGCGATCCACATACTGAGCAGAAAAAGATTGGGATAATCGTTCTCTCAACTCGCACTGCGCTTCTTCGAAAAAACTTTGGTTCGAGCACAGAGTCCGCAGTGTCCCCAGCCTTGCCCGTGGCCACGCCCTGTGCACAGACGGGGGGTGGGCGCTACTGGGGGCAAGGGGAACAGCCAAGGTCGTGTGCTTAAAACGAGGTTTTGTCGCAACGGTACCCGCGACCCTCACTACTTCTAGTTCCAGCCATTCCACAGACTGGATGGAAAGAGATACAACCTTTAGGCGAAAATACCCTGACTTGGTCATGAGCTCGCTGCAGAACTGGCCTCCAAGCGAACTGTGTTTCCAGATCAAGAATATGTCGTCTTTGAATATCAAGTACCGCTTAATGCTGAAACGCGTAAGATTTGCAACGGCCCATGTTTCCATTCGGCGAATCAATGCTAAGTCGGCCACGTCTCCCGAATGAGGGAGGCCCATGCCCGTACCGAGCACTACTTTGAAGCACCGGCCTGGCAACGTGGACGCCGTAATGAATTGATTATCAAGCAGTAAATACAATGCGCGCTCAATGAGCACACGCAGCCTCCCAGAGAAGAAGTGCAGGATGTCATTCACGAGCTCTTCCGTTGTCCCTGACATGAAAAACTCTTTCACATCCATTGTGCACAAGTGGTCTCTCGGATCCAGTCTTGTACGCATTAGTTTCCTGGCTGCGTCGGCGGAGTCCCGCACCACGTGAGGATACCGCTTGATGACCTCGCGAAGCCTTCTGCCGAGCCAATGCGACAGCCCTGCGAAGGCATACTTG